AGTGCCGTAGAAGAGACACAAATGGTAGAGGTCAATTGCACTCATTTGAAATATTCTCAACAGTTTACCATATAACACTATCTGACAAGCAATGGTCTATAAAAATAATTTATTGGAAGCGCAATAGGAAGAAGAAAACGGGATAGAACACAGATTACAAAATGAGAACACCAATATGAGAAGAGGATGCATTGCCTACGAGAAGATTAATAATCGTATGTTTCTCTACGTTTCGGTTTAGGTAGAGAAGGCACTAGAGGGCTTATCGACTAAATTAGGAATTTTTTAATTCAGATTGTAAAATGAATAAACAATGGTTTTCCGATAATTTCGTAGAAGACATCTGTTAATTTTAATTTTATAATTTACATGGAAATTTGGAGGAATACAGGCTTACGAAGATGGGGTTCTGTCTTTTCGATTTACATACAAAAAAAAATATAAAAAAATAGTCTGGTGGGGAGAAAATTTAAGAAGCGGATTGACTAGGAAATATTTTTAGGTGAGACAATAAAGAGATCAATAAAGTATCCCCTCTGTGGCTCAGTGGTAAGAGCGCCTACCTTTGAACCTAAAGGTCGTGAGTTCGAATCTCACCTGGGTGGAGAAATTTTCGTTTATTAAAAATTAATGAATGAAAATAATTTCTATCCTTGTGCGATCGGTACTCACCGGAGGGACCGCAGATGTTCGGATACAATTAGCGTCTCTTAGCAAAGACAATGACGTCGAATTTGCTAAGTATCAAGACAATTACTCTACACACACACACACACACACACACACACACACACACACACACACACACCACACACACACACACACACACACACACACACTACACCTCAAATTGTAAGATTGGCGAATGGATTTAGTGTCCTCAGTCATTTAAACACAAACAAACAACAAAATAACGAGATAAAAATAAAGGAAGGGAAAGAACGAGGCATTTTGGAATGAATTTTGAAAGAGCTGGTTTGTCAAAGTTGAGAAGAAGTGCATTTTATCAAAGTTAATTTGATAGTTTAAAAAGAAAAAGTTTTGTGAGTGGAAATGTTAGTTCTACGTGTCCTGGATAAATTTGAAGATAACTAAATTGGACATGTCAGTTATTTGCTTTCTTGATTTGACGTGGTTCGAGAATTGTATGATCCTGATTTTGGGCCGAAGAAGATGAACGATTGCGTGTGTCACTCCGATTTGTTTGGACAAACGTCGAATGTAGAAAATACCTATAAAAGTACTGAGTAACCTTTGATTTGGTTAAGTCATTTTTCCGTGAAAGATTATATTTTTTTAAACAAGGAAACCATTGCCAATAGGTCGTCACCTGAGAATTATGTTGAACCAAGTCCACTTTTTTGAAAATGTGAGATTTAATCACAACACACTTTAGGTATTAAAATGTACCATGTCCAGCTCTCAGATGTACTCAATAAAGCTCTTTCATTGACAAAATCGAACAATTATATTAAACCAAGTCCCAAAGTGTACTACTTTTGAGAATTATTCTGTATCAAGTCCACAGCCAATAATAAAGGGCTATTTTAACACGTGTCATAGGACATGGTACACAATAATAATAATCGAATATCGCATTCCAGCATGATTCCAACGTTTTAAACAAAACAACGAACGTGTTCGTTAGTGAATGTTTTAATCTACATTTTAAAGGTGTTTAAAGGTTTTAAAAATTGTGAAAAACAGTTCTTAATATGAATCCATCACAATTGACGTAAGTATAATGATTAAATAGTAGTTGTTAGTGTTGTTTGATTTTAGAAATGATGTTGATTGAGTATTAAAAATACAACATAACCTTTATTTTATAGTCTACTTGAAGAGTTAAGTGATCTAAGCGATATAGAGGATCCAACTTATAGGCCAGACGTTGATAAACTTCTGTTTAATTTGGATCAGCACATTCATGACGATGACATGATGTCAGATAATGTGTTACAGGATGATACTGCAGATGCCGAAAGCAATCAGAGGTAAGTGTTTTTTGTATTTTTGAGGAAACGAGTTTAGTTAGCACAAGTCACACACATTATTACACATTCGATAAGTAATAGTGTGTTTTTGTTATAGTGCGGAGCCTAACAGAATAAATAAAGAGCGTTCTCGAAAGCGAAAAAAGGATATTAATGAATGGAAACAAAATGTAAGAAAAAGGCGTAGACAAGCTGGGTTGGATTATATTAATACCAAAGGAGAACCTGTGGAAATGAAATCAGTGAAGGGACAGTGTGATTGTCGTTTAAAATGTAAACTTAAAATAAGCATTGAAGACCAGACATCTATACATAAACATTTTTGGCAACTAGAAGACCAAGAGAAATCACATTTTTACAGTAAGTTTGTACAAAAAACTGAAAAAATAGAAGCAGACCGAGAGTTTTTCCACAGCCACAGTCAAAAGACGCCTACAAAAGTATACTCTGAAATATTTTTTCGAATTAAATAATAACAGAGTACAAGTTTGCAAAACTTTTTTTTTAAATACCCTGCATATTAGCTCTCGGCGGATTTCCTATTTTTTTTTGAAAATAAGTACCAAATAACAGGCACACCGAAAAGCAGCGTACATGGAAAACATGTGAAAAGAGTAACCAGTGGGGATCAAATTAACAAAATTAAAGAGCATATTAATTCGTTCCGAGAATGGAAAGTCATTACTGCCGAGCAAATACAAGTAAAGAATATTTAGAACAAGATTTAACCCTACAAAAAATGTTTGACCTCTATAAGGAAAAACACCCCGATTCTGAGATCAAAATAAATGTATATCGAAATGTTTTTAATACATCTTTCAACATTTCGTTCTTTAAACCTAAAAAAGATAGATGTGATTTCTGCGAAGAAATAAAAAATTCTACTGATGTGACAGATAAAAGGCGTGAAGAATTCCAGAACCATGTGAAAGGAAAAGAAGAAAGCAAAATGGAAAAGAACCGGGATAGGGAAACAGTAGAAGAAAACACTGCGTTTATATCATTTGATTTGCAGAATGTATATTCACTACCAAAAGCAAATGTATAAATTTTTTTTTATAAACGTAAATTCAGTGTTTACAACTTAACGGGATATTGTTCAAAGAATAAGAAGACATACTGCGGAGTATGGCATGAAATGATATCCGGAAGAACTGGAAATCACATTTGCAGTAGTCTTCTAAAAATTTTGGATCAAATTGTGTCAGATTTCCCTGAGTTAACAAAATTGGTAATTTGGTCGGATTCCTGTATCCCCAAAATAGGAATAGCATCATGACTTTTGGATTACAGCATTTCATCAAGAAACATCCTCAAATACAGTTGATCCAACAAAAATTTTCAGAGCCCGGGCACAGCAATGTACAGGAAGTAGATGCTGTACATAGCTTGCTTGAGAGAAAAATGCGCTATTCAGAATTATACATTCCAGTGTCTTTGCTCAGAACCCTAGTACAGATTGCAAGTCATTCAAAAAAAATTATTGTATTGCAAATGAAGCCGACAGATTTTTTAAATTTTCAGATACTGGCAAAGAAATTAGGATACAGTAAAATCCCATACACAAAAGTTAAATTTATTGAAGTTGATTCTAGTATGTATGTTAGCTATAAAACTTCCTTTACGGGCAATCTGAGCAAAGTAAGAGTGGATGGAACTACTAGAAATCAGCGGACCCATCCCGATAGAAGCAGTAATAATACTCTTGAATACATGGTTAATGTAAAGCAGATCACCCAACAGCCATCACTGGAAGCGAAGAAGAAGGCTGACATCATCTCAATGTTAAAGTATATGCCACAGGTGGATAAACAATTCTATGAACTGTACATTCGTTAAAAGTCTGTATTATCAGTATTAGTCATGTGGACATGGTTAATAATTTTGATTGCAGATAAATTTGTAAAAAAAAACTGGAAATCATCTTAAACCATGTCCATCTTTCAAAAGTCAAATTACATATTTTTTTCCTGGACAATACAAGCACATTATTATTTACCCGTAACAACATCCTACAAAACATTGTAAACAATTGTAGTCCCTTACACGAAATAAAGAAAAGTACATAAACCTTCTAATTCAAATTCTACGCATTTAACATTTTGGGACATGGTTCAACATAATTCTCAGGTGACGAGGTATTATTAATTAAAGTTTTTTCGGCCCACTCTACTACTTGACAGTATTATTTCCTATCCTTTAACACATTGCCTGCCGTCTCGGTCTATGTAACCGAGAAAAAAAATGCCCTGCACGCCAGCGAGTGACCAAGCCAATGCAACTGTAATGCCGGCTCGGTCACTATGGCGTGAACGGAAAGTTTACAAAATACTCTACGGCAGGCAACGTGTTAAAGGATAGGAAATAATACTGTCAAGTAGTAGGGTGGGCCGAAAAAAACTTTCTTTTATTTCGTTTTGCTATACCACGGAAAAATTGCTACTAAGATAGAGTTTTAATACAAAAAGAATTTTTCAAATTATTTGATATCTTCCGGTCGCGCATTAGTAGTAAAGTTTAAAAAATTGGTTGTTTTTGAATTTTTTTAAAAACACAAAAATATTTTATCCCGTTTTGCTATATCACGTATATCTTTCCTTGAGGGGTCAGTATTAAAATAAAGTAAAGAAAAAAGGATATATTGACATATTCCAATTGCGCATGTCCACGGTTGACATGTTCTTTGAAAATACATCGTAAATACAACGCTGAAATACAGTATATTGTTTGTAAATTCCATGTAAAAGTACATACATTTTCAGTACAATTACAGAGTAATATGCAAAACAAATGTTTTTATGAAGAGACCTATTGTTAAATTTTACTTTTAATTTTAGTCTTTATTTCAAACAAACTGGTAGGTCTACCAGTCGATGTTCACTTAAATCCATCCCTGAAGTTGGCATCAACAACTTTTTTCGAGTCACAAGCCTCGCACAACGTTCCACAGCTTGCGTATGGCATGAAACTTATCAAATTTCCATTTACTAATATTTCCAGATGTTATCATTGAAGACATTTCTTTATCAGTTGATCTTCGCCGTAGTGGTGGCGACGATACTGACATCTGCCCCAGTCTATCATCTCTGTGTAGTCAGTTGCACTGAAAATAAGTTTTGGGGTAACAAAGTTCCTAGGTAACGGTCTTGTTGATAAGTTTCTCGCTGTTATTACTCTTCTTAGAGCTAGTTTTCGGATATGCTTCTTTTCATCTACAAGCATGCTTAGAAGCAAAAAATCTTGAGATTGTATTTCCTGGAACACGTGCTTCGTTCCATCTGTGAAATATTTACTTTTCTTTACACTGAACGAGACAGGCATGTAAGACTCCATAATAACGAAACTAAAATTTTATGTTCATGAGGTTCTGCTGTACTAACGTAAAGTCGTATACTGCAAAAAACTTAAGTTTGGGAATATGACTCATACTTCGACGATGCGCAATGAATCGTGTTTACTAGTGTTACCATGGAAACGACCAAGGTGCTGCTTGGCAGTGTCGTAGTCTGAGAAGTACGGACATATCAGTACGAATCGCAGAGAGTATTTGACTTATCGTAGTGCTTGGTAGTAGTAATTAGTGTATTATAAAGTAATAAGTAGTGTGTTTAGATCAATTATTAATAATAGTTATTTAACAATGTGGTTCCTAAAAAGATAAGAACAAAACTAAACCATCATCAAGAACGTGCTGGAGCCTACTAAAAATATTCTGAAGAGAGAAAAACCAAAGAAACAGAAAGAATGGATGAGTGACGATGAAATTTTGTTATTGATGAATTCTCGAAGACTATCGAAAGATAAAAGTGAAGAACATCATAAGCAAATTAACACAGAGATCAAAGGAAAAATCCGCGACGCTAAAAAACAATGGTTACAAGACAAATGTAAGGAGATTGAAAACTTGGAAGCCAAATATGATTCGTTCTATCTTTACCAGAAAGTTAAAGAAATGATCAAAAATAGAAACAGGAAGCAGACAGTACTTATACATAGATCAACAAGGAAATATGATAATGGAAACAGAGGAGAAACTAAAACATTGGCAGACATACATAGAAGAACTGTTTGACGATCAAAGGCAGCCTCCTTGTGATAATTTTCCAGGAGACAGGTCCAGAAATAAGCAAAGAAGAAGTAATGCAAGCGGTGAAGTCATCAAAGAATAGCAAAGCTCCAGGACCCGACGAGCTACCAGCGGATATACTAAAGTTGATAGATGAAGATCGAATCTATTTGTTAGTAGACTTATTTAACAAGATTTATGAAAACAGTATAATTCCTGAAGAATGGCTAAGATCAACCTTTGTCCCTCTTGCCAAGAAGGAACATGCTAAGCAGTGCAGTGATCATCGCACGATCAGTTTGATGAGCCATACCTTAAAAATATTCCTCAAAATAATTCACAATAGAATTTACAGAAAATTGGAAGAAGATATCGGAGAAACTCAGTTTGGATTCCGAGAGGGATATGGAACTCGCGAAGCATTATTAGCCTTTAACATCTTGACACAGAGGTGTTTGGATGTGAATCAAGATGTTTTTGCTTGTTTTTCATTGATTACAACAAGGCTTTTGATCACGTCAAGCATAACCAACTTTTAGAGATCTTGAAAGCTAAACAATTAGACACTCGCGATATAAGAATAATATCTACTCTGTATTTTATTGTATCCATTTTATTTTGAAAATATGATTGTTTATCCCTGATTATTTTAAAAAACAAAGATTGAATGCAAACCTATACATTCACAATAACGAAATCGAACGGGTACACAAATATAAATACTTGGGAACAAGTGTTAATAACAACAATGACATCACAGAAGAAATAAAAACTATAATTGGAAAGACTCGAGCTGCTTTTGTTAATATGAAGGACATTCTGGGAAGTCATGACATTAACCTAAACCTGAAAATGAGATTGGTTAGATGCTACATCTTTTCGATACTGCTGTACGGAGTAGAGACTTGGACTTTAAACAAGAGCAATATAGATAAACTAGAGGCCTTCGAAATGTGGATATATAGAATTTTCAAAAAACCTTGGACAGACAAAATAACAAATAGTGTAGTTCTTCGAAGAATGAACAAAGAATGGGAGCTGTTGATCACCATCAAGAGAAGAAAGCTGGAATATCTTGGTCATGTGATGAGAGGGAAAAAGTACCGATTGCTCCAGTTAATTATCCAAGGAAAAATTCAGCGCAAACGAAGCGTGGGGAGACGACGTATATCTTGGCTGCGCAATTTAAGAGACTGGTTCCAGTGCACATCTAATCAATTATTTAAGGCACCAGCTTCAAAGATACGAATAAAAATGGTGATTGCCAAACTCCGTAGCGGAGAGGGCACTTGAAGAAGAAGAAGTTTCTGTGTCTGTTCAATGTCCACACTTCCAATCTTACCCAAACCATGCTTCCTTTGTAAGTATACAAATCTAAATTCCAACGGGGGATTTTTTTGGACTTTTCGCAAATGCATTCATATATCAAAGTACACCCACATGAGTCAGGAGTCTTGTGGCAACTGCATTGCACAATATTGCACTTGCAACACAAAATATCAAAGATTTCAGCCGATTTTTCTTTAAATTCGGAAAGTTTTCTTTTGAACAATGGCTTGTCTTGTCACGGTTAAAAGATGTTCGTAGTTTGTAGTAACTATCATGAAAATTATTTATTAGTTGAACAATTCTGTACTCTGACACAGTAGGTAAGGAAGCTTTTTCAAATACTCCTTTGACTTTATTGACTACGCTAGCAGAAACTTTAGAAAAACTACACATTTGTTGTTAGATTCCAATGCTAAGTTAAAACGTACTTCAAACCAGCATTTTGAAACATATACGTGGGTCGGAAGCTTATTTGGAGGCAAGTCTTTTGGATGGCCAAATATGGGACACTCAAATGTCTGACGTAATATCTTTCTGAAAGATTCCATTACACATATCCTTTACATAAAACTTAGACAAATGCACTTTACACGACACGCTTGCTCGAAACGACGTGGAAGACTGGCAGCACAGATTATAGGACAAGAAGATCGCCAACCTTAATGTTAAAAATTGCTGATACGATTTACAGCGCCCTCTACGGTAGAATTCTACACTAAATGCTAATAACTTTGTAACTTACCTTAACGAAGGCAAAAAAAAGAAGACAGAAATCTGTTAATGAGAAGCGGGAAATTCAAATTTATATGACGCGGGAAACTCAAAATTATTGTAGGAATTCTCTATAATTTAAAGGGACACTGTCAAGATAAATTGTAAAAATAAAAATATATCCGTCTGAACGTTTCCATCTATCACATTTTTAACAATACAAGTGTGTTGGTCGTGCTTAAAGTTAAATTCGTTAAAAATTGTTTAGAAATGAAATAAACCGAAACGTTCGGATGCAAAGAATTTTATTTTTACCACCTTCTTGAACAAGTCCTATTAAATTATAGGAATTAAAATTTAATGGTTATAAAACAAACCATTATTGCTGTAATTCATTTCACAAATTTGCATAACATAATTTTAACAATGAGTAAATAAATCATAAAAATTCTATTTGGCAAATGTGAAGTTCATAGCTCATATGACAGAAGAAAGATAGAATAAGGTTGAATCTCACTCAAGCTAGGAAAAAAATAAAAATGTTCTATATAGTACAAGTGTTTTATTTATGGTGGTGGTAGAGATATAAAAACATAAAATACAAATAACAATGTCCAAAGAAAAATAACAATTTTAACTATAGTAATACAAACGTGAAAATATCAAAATTTATCTGACTCATTATTAACATACACAATATCATTATTGAAAAGAATATACATAGGTTATTGAAGAAGAATTATACATACATTTATATTTGCATAGGATGACACATATATTATATCGTCTTTGGATTTGGATCACAACACAGAATATAAGACAAGAATCACATTTATCACAATAAAAACGAGATTTGAATATTCAACAGTCCGTTGGATGACAGATGAGACTGTTTGTGTTTTTTTAAAAATTACAAGTCACCATCAATCATTACCTGGAGTGACATCTGTGCTAGAAAATATTACTAAAAACGTTGTCGTTGACAAGACTATTCAAGTTAACCCCCCTGACTGGCAGTCTGCATCTGGACGGATGGTGTGATGTATGTGAGAGAGTAGGGATTGTGGGTAAGGCGGAGTGGAAGGGGTGCGAAGGTTATCCACACAGCGCCATGTCTTTGGCTGATGTGAAACTAAACAACTCTGGAAGGACCACCGATTTGTAATACTGCAATTCAGTATTTTTTTAATTAAGTATTGTGTCTGGAACATGAAAAGTAGGGCCGTTAAATTGGTTTCATGTTGTCAAAAGCGTTGTATTTTCAAAGAAGAAAATAGCAAAAAACGATATTTTTTATATTTCATGGGACGATGCGCGACCTGAATATGTCAATATATCCTTTTTTAATTTTTAATCCTGGACCCTCAAGGAAAGATATACGCGGTATAGCAAAACGGGATAAAATATTTTTGTTCTTAAAAAAATTTCAAAAACAACCAATTTTTTTAAACTTTACGACCAATGCGTGACCGGAAGATATCAACCAATTTGAAAAATTCTTTTTGTAATTTAAAACTCTATCCTAGTAGCAACTTTTCCGCGATATAGCAAAATGAAATAAAAAAAAAGTTTTTTTCGGCCCACCCTATTAAGTAGGTTTATAGATCTGATAAGAAAATTATTAGAAATACATAATTGTTTGCATTTACAAAGAATTTTTTAAATTTGTGTATATTCCATATTCCTGTTTTTCATTAGAAACATGGCTATGCCATTAAATTGTGTTTTTGGAAAAAAAAGAACATTTTTTATGTGAGTGTATTTATCAGTACTACAAGACTACAATTACTTTGTAACATACATTGAATAAATTACAAAAAGCTTCTCCATTCCAGATCATAAAAATATTCATTATGAAAAATCCAAAATTTATTTTTGTTGTATTAAAATTTATCAAGTGATAAATTTAAAAAATAATTATATAAAACAAATTTTACACGTATAAGCTTTTTCTACAGTGTGGAATTTCGAATGTTTTCAAATGACTTGTTTGGCTAAACTCTTTAAAACAAATTTCGCACTCTTAAAGCTTTTTCCCAGTGTGAACTTTCCGTTCTTCATCGAAAGAACTTTTGTCTGAACTGCTTAAAATAAATTTCACATTTGAAAGGTTTTTCTTCAGTATGCACTTTCAAATTACCTGTGTGACTAAACTCTCTAAAACACATTTCACATCAAATGTGTTTTCAAATTATGTACTTGTTTGGCTAAACAGTTTAGAACAAATTTTAAATTTGTAAAGCTTTTCTCCAGTGTGAACTTTCTTACGTTCATCCAAAGAATTTTTATGTTTACGTTTTTTTATTATCTTTATGTAACTGCTTAAAACAAATTTCACACTTGTAAGGTTGTTCTACACTTATTGTGATGTGCACTTTGAAATGTGTTTTCAAGTTACCTGAGTGAATTCACTCTTTAAAAAAAATTTCACACTTGTAAGGCTTTTCTCCAATGTGAACTTTAAAATCGTCCTCTAAATACTATAATCAGATAACTCAAAATTTGCTATTTTTCAGGAAAGCAGTTTTAAATTTGAAAAGAAACAAACCGTGTTGTATGACAGCAAATGAACTTTTTTCTGACTATTTATAGCAAGAACTTGAAATAAATCTAACTTCTGATTAATTCTAAGTATTCTAAAGCTTTGTTTTAGTTTTTTTTTGTTATTAAAAAACAAGATATCTAGTTATTGCAATTAAAATTACAAAAAATTTAAATATACCTAGTTGCCGACTTAGCAATAAGTACAACTTTTTAATACCAAAAAAATATATTAATATATTTTAATAAAAATATAATAAAAAACTAATAATTATAACAATAATTTTCTTTCACTCGGTCTGACGTATGTCAGATTCAGTTGATACTTCTCTTCTTGATACTTTAAAAGGCAGGTTTTCAAAATAATCCTTATTTTCCAGAGCTGTTAAACAATGTCAAAGCATCCTTGTTTTTTTCAGAGTAATAGGGATTATCTCCTTATACAAAGGATTTGGCATTATTGTAGTTATATTTTGAGTTAATAAGAAAACGAGGTAGACCAAGACGATCCTGGAGAGACGATGTCGACGATGCAATGACCGCCAGAGATCTAACAACTGAAGATTGCTTCGATAGAAAAACGCTGGAAATTAGGATGCGAGAAGCGGCGCCAGCTGTAGAAGACCCGCTTGTTATATATATATATATATATATATATATATATATATATATATATATATATAATATATATAATAATATATATATATATATATATATATATATATATATATATATATATATGTATATATATATATATATATATATATATATTTTGAGTTAATTTTTAAAGTTCTAAATTCTTCGTTAAATTTTCCTTTAAATTTAGAAAACAACATGCAGCACTTTTTCTGCCATGCTACTTGCTGTCCACTTTCGTCCTTATTTCTGAAAATTAAAATTTTATCGGCATGATTTTTCCAATCCCATATTTGTCCCTGAGTGGTGCTATGGATGATGTGAGTGTTTATCTCCATTTCTCCGGCACATCTAGCAATTGTTTTCCAGTCTTGTGGTAAATGTGTTTTGCCTACTCTTTTGAACTCTGTTAAAATAGCTTCGGGCCATAATGAAATGGAGTCGCACTCCATTTCATTATGGCCGGAAACTAGGAAGTTTAGTTCACTGTTAAACACCTACTAGCGACGTTTTTATTTAAATTTTGTCCACCACATCTATCACTAAAATATTAAACCTGAGTTACTCGTTCCGGCAAAAATTCGAAGTATTGGTATAAGTAAGTGGCAATCCCACAGCTGCCCTCGTTTTCCTTCAACCTCTGTCCACATGAAGCAATCAACCTGTTTAGAGACTGTATTATAAAGGTGAAGTTACATACTTTTAATCTTTGCTTGTAAAATAGTATTATTCGTTGGGTCATTTGGTACCCAAAGCACTTTGCTTGTAAAATAAAGTGTTATTCGTTGGGCCATTTGGTACCAAAAGTATTTGTTGAAGATCAAAATTGCAACATTGCAAAATTGTACCGGTAGAATTTTCCGCCAACTGTCTACTTACTCTCTTTTCATCACGGGCTCTGTTCTTGTGAGCTGCTATGTGAGCGAGATATTCGGTTTCCATACATGTTTTATCGCATTGGGGGGAGTTTAAGGCCATACAAATCCGGCACTCGTCTTTATAAGGTCGGTAGAAGCCAAGGTTATATTCCTCTGAAAATACCTTTCTATAAATGGAAAAGTTAGCTGGTGTTTGATTGTTCTCACTGCATTCTTTCTTGTATAACGAATACATACGAGTGATGTTAAGGTCCGAGGACAAATATTTCCATTGTGTTTTTGTATATCAATAATTTTAAATGACTACAGGGAACTTCTAAATATGGTTTTTTACACTTGCCAGGACTTGCCAGGTGACGTGATCTTTTTTTATGTTTTCCCCGATTATCTACCAAAGTCGTGTTTTCTTCAGTTGTATTTTTCATAGCTATCTCTACAATTCCTTTTCGAATTCCTATTGATAAACATGATTTTACAAACCTGGATTCTATTAGAATTTTTAGGTAAACAGAATAACATGGTTTTTTGACGTCTGGACTGTTCTGTAGTATGCCATTTTTTATCTTTCTTTTCTGTATGGCCATTAATAAAGTCTGGTTTTCTTTCTTAGGATTCTAACGGGTAATATCTTCGAAAAATCGACAATCTCTCTTCATAGGAAATTTTTTCTGTGCATTTTCGTTTACAGGTAGCTAAACAAGCATCTTTCATAATTACTCTTGGTACGTATTTATTCCTACGTTTGCCCTTTGCAAACTCCTATTAATAGTTTGCAAAGTTCCATTTTCGAGAGCAAGTTCATTGTCAGAAGAATCATCAGAGTCCGGAATATATTCAGAGTGATCAGAATCTGTTTTCGAATCATTAAAATGTTGTTTAGAAGTGGATGGAAGGACCCCAGTATTCTCATCTGAAAATAAAAAATACTTAACTAAGTTTAAAGAAATGTTTATATTTTTAAATTTTGGGAATGAAAGATATAGGTTTTACAAAAAACAACCATTAAAAAAATTTTAACCAATCTTACATAAGTAGTCTAATAGTTTATTAGTCTTAAATCGTTTAAAAATTTAAATAAAAACCTAAGACTTGTTAAAAAACAGCGTTTTACAAATTTATTTTCATAGGCTTTACTAAAAAAGTTCAGCATGATATGCTGATTTTATATTTAAGTTTAAAAACTAATGAATTGACAAATACCTAACCTATAAAAATAAGCTCTCCCACGATTTTAACAAATTTGTTTTTTCAAATAGTATTTAAAGCACTCATCTTTTGTTTCTGTTAACTGGTTACATACTAATCTTAATATATATCAAGCTCTTGTAGACATTTTTGCTCTTGTTTAACAAAATATCACGAAAAATAAACCAACAATGACACTCAAAAAGTATGCTATGAACAACTGCACAAATAGGTATCTTAAAGAATATCCAGAAAGGCAACGCATAACACGAGTTATCGGGCGCACAATTAGGTATGTCAAAGTAAACACTTTATGCAGCGGAAATTTTTGTTGTCACCTGCACTTTTAGATATTTGAATATGACCACTTTTAGCACCAATTTTTTTTTCGGACTTGGCATAGCTATAACTATGTAATTATATTTACAGAAATGACATAGCTATTACTGTGTAATTGGATTCAAATGGGCGTATAACTTACCTAGTTGTAGTATTAAAAAGAGCGTGAAAAATTGTATCGGTAACAGTGGCGGCTGGGTTCTGCAGTATTTTTTGGTTTTTTTAATTCAATATCTTTTAATCGTTGACAACGAGGCTTTTAGTTTGGTATTTTACACCATATATTTAATCATTATATATCTATTAAAAAATAATAAAGAACTTACCGATTTTCTTCTTTTCAAATTGAAGATAAATCCAATTATATCAAAAATAGCAACGGTACATTATGGCATACTAGTAATTGTTTTATAATTTATGTTTTTAGTAGAATTTTATCGATAAATACGCGAAACTAAGGAATGCAAACGAAAAAACACTACAAACAAAATCGCCACAACAATAATTGCATTATAGGGTCTTACGAACTTACTACACACAGAGCCAAATATATTATTTTTTTTTTATAAATAAGCTCGATTCGTCGATTTTTTTTAAAGCAAACTTGTCTATAACTTTTTCATTAAAGTTTGGTATTTCTTTTATAAGTGTTTTTTCTACTGACAACATGGTTAATGCTACAAGTCGGTCTTCAGTCATGGAATTTCTCAAGAATGTTTTAATCCGTTTTAAACTCGAAAAGCACTTTTCAGCTTCTGCCGTACTCATGGGCACTGTAATTAGAATTTGAAGCAGTTTTACAGTTTCTTGAAAAGGCTCTGTTAAATTATTTTCAATTAAAAATTTTAAAAAAGGTATTTTCCCATTAATGTCTCTACAGTCTCTTCTAAAATAAATAACAGAATTGAATTCAGTCTTCAAGCGCTCCCTATCTAAATTTGGATATGACGCGCAAGTCAGGCTTAAATTATCATCTGGGAAATTATCACAATAATTATCAAATTGCTCAGGATAAAACAATGAAGTTGCAAGTAGGTGATTTTTAAAAGCAAATCTATCATTTGCACAATTTATGATTATATCACAAACTTCGATAGATGCTCTCCGATGATCTACTGGACTGTTATCCTTCCGTAACCTTTTAGTTGGTAATGGTTCAACGCATAAACTAGAACCTTGGTCAATGGTATCATCTATTGAATTTCTAACTGAATTCATGTATCTTTCGAAATCTGTCACCTTTTTATTGATTTCCAAAGGATCCGTTTTAGTCTTTGGAAGGGCATTATACAAAACGTCTACTTGTGGCATTATGCGATGGAAAAATGTTAACCAAAAAACAAAATTTTGATCCATTAGTATTCTTCGAATGGAAGACGCTTAACTACAGACAGCTGCCTTATCAAACGATTCTTTATTTCTTCCATACATTCGATAAAAGAAGATCGATGTTCAAACACAACATTAACAGTTCGAATATTGAAGTTCCAGCGAGTTGGAGCGCCATGAGGAATTTTCTTTTGGACGATTTTATCTAAAACTGCCACTCGTTGTGGCGAATTTTTAAAAAAGGTAGGGATTTCATTTAAATTTCCAAAAAAAAGTCTAACTTGAGAGTTTTCGGAACAAGCCTTGGACATTATTAAATTTAATTGATGCGCGTAACAGTGTACAAAATGAGCAAATGGATATTTTTCTTTGATTCTGGCTTGAACTCCTGCGTGCTGTCCACACATGACCGCTGCCCCATCATAACTCTGAGCAATTAGTTTATTTGAGTTTTTCAGGATAGGATCCAAAACACTGAAAATGTTTTTGCTTAAAGTATCTGCATTTAATTTTGAAGGTACCAAATATGTCCAAAATCGTTCTACCGGTGCTCCATTTCGACAATATCTAAATACTACAACCATTTGTGATTTTGCTGAAATGTCTGTAGTCTCGTCGGCCAATGCAGCTAGATATGGAGATTCCCGAATTTCCTCCAAAATTTTATCCTGGCATAATTCCAACATGCAGTCCAAAATATCATGTTGAATTTCTTTAGAAATGCCCTTAAAAACCGTCGATTCTTCCAAGTGTTGTGTTAAAGTTCTATCCAATTCAGCAGTAAAATTTATGAGGCCGCGAAAAATTCCAGGATTGTCGGATGTTTGTGTCTCGTCGTGTCCCCGAAGCGACAATTCGAAAACCCTACAACATTTTATGCAGTCTATAATTTTTGATAGAACATACCTATTTTTTGTTACAGCTTCATTGAATTTTTGAATATTTATCCAGTATGCAGAATCTAACTGTTCTTTAATATTCACGGAGCCTAATAAAGCATATTCCATTTGATTGTGCAAATGATGCTTAGAAGTTTCGTGCTTTTTTATTTTATCACTTAAATGTACTAAGTCTGTTACACCAACTTGCGTCCATGACTTATCACCTCCAAAGAGTACACAAGGAAAACAGAAAAGAGCGTTTTTTCTGTTGCAGCCACATATCCAACTATTTCTCGTATAAATATCGCAATTAAATTGTTTGTAATTTTTCCCTCGGCTTGATCCTTCTTTTTCGATTTTAATATCCGGCAAAGGACGTCCTTTGCATTTTAATTCTAGTTTTTCCTCATAAGAATATTTAAAGAATCTCTTAACATTAATCAAATTATAAATAACATCCATCCTGAACAGCACTTTTATTCTCATATACTTAATATAAATACCGAATTACGTGCAGGACAACTTATTTTAACAGTCGTCGCGTCGCCATCACCGATTATTTAAAATTACAATAAACGTAGGTTTGTACACACTAGTTCGAACTGCGACAAATGCAGCTCAAATATTGCTTTCAGTCGTCGCCTGAAAAGTGTAGGCGAGGGGTTGAGCGGGTGTTATCAGGGATATCTTTAACAGTTCACAGCTCGGAGTAGCACCGGTCCGGTCAAATAAGTTGGACTTGCTGTCGCCATGAGATGCGACGGACGACAGATTAAAATAAAGGCGGCCATGCACGAAAACAATCTAAATGAATTTAGATTTTATAAGTAGTGATATTTTTTATTTAATTTTCAAAGTAATTTTGTTTGAATTATTTTGGTGGTTCTGCAGCTCCGCAGCACTTATATACCAACCGCCACTGATCGGTAACGGTAGATAACTTAAAATTGCAAAATTTCTAGTTCTCTAGTTGTAGTATTAAGGGGACGCGAAATGTATTTTCAAATTACTTGTTTGGCTAAAACTGTTTAAAATAAATTTCAAACTTGTAAGGCTTTTCTCCAGTGTTAACTTTCAAATTACTTGTTTGGCTAAACTGTTTAAAAGAAATTTCAAATTTGTAAAGCTTTTCTCCAGTGTGAACTTTCTTACGTTCACCCAAAGAATTTTTATGTCTCAACTGCTTAAAACCAATTTCATACTTGTAAGGTCTGTCTACACTTGTTGGGGTGTGCACTTTTAAATTACCTGTGTGAATTAACTCTTTAAAACAAATTTCACAGTTGCAAGGCCTTTCTGCAGTGTTAACTTTCGTATGTTCATCCAAAGAACTTTTATGTATGAACTGCTTAACCCTCCAGTACACGCGCGGATTACATATGTAATCCATTGAATTTTATAAATTTTATAAAATTGCTATTCGGACCATATTGTATATAGGGTTGCCTATCTTCCAATACCTTCGGGGCATAGTATAAGGAACTGTTTTAGTATGCGACTG